ACTGTTCCTGCTTCTCCCTGCTGCCACCCTCACCCCCAGCCCTGCCCCTTCCCCCACCCAGCTTGGAGAAGCTGCACTCACACTGCAGCTGGGGAAGGGAGGGAAAGGACGGGGGTGGACAGGGAAAAGAGGCAGCATATCCTGGTACAGCTTCCAGCTCACCACCCAGTGCAGCTCCTCGCTGCTCAGCACCAGCACAGGTATGGGCCCACGCAGAGCCCTGTGGCTGCATGGGCCAGATCCAATAGTTTCATAAGCCAGGTCTAGTCCATGGGCTGTATGTTGCTGACCCCTGTTTTAGACTATCAGAGGATGACTATAAACCACCGATTTGAGGAAGCCATGAAAAAGGCACATACAATCCCAACATATGTCAGATGAGGTATTTTCAGTAAAGATAGGGAAGTAGTAATGTTGTTGAACAAGACCTTGGTGAATTATCACCTGGATGACTGCACTGACCTGGTCACCTGTCTTCAGGAAAGATGAATTTCAGCAGGGCTAACTGAACCTTATCGTGCATAAGTAGGGCCAAGGAGGTGATTCTCCCCCTCTACGTGACACTGGTCAGGCCACAACTGGAGTACTGTGTCCAGTTCTGGGAACCCCACTTCAAGAGGGATGTGGACAACATTGAGAGGGTCCAGAGGAGGGCCACCCGCATGATCTGGGGACAGCAGGGCAGACCCTACAATGAGAGGCTACGGGACCTGAACCTGTTCAGCCTTCACAAGAGAAAGCTGAGGGGGGACCTGGTGACCGTCTATAAACTCACTAGGGGGGACCAGAAGGGTTTGGGGGAGACCTTGTTTCCCCTAGCGTCCCCCGGGATAACAAGGAATAACGGCCACAAGTTGTTGGAGAGTAGGTTTAGATTAGACATCCGTAAGAACTACTTCACAGTTAGGGCGGCTAGGATCTGGAACCAACTTCCAAGGGAAGTGGTGTTGGCTCCTCCCCTGGGGGTCTCTAAGAAGAGGCTTGATGCCTACCTGGCTGGGGTCAATTGAGCCCAGTTTTCCTCCTGCCCAGGCAGGGGGTCGGACTTGAAGATCTACAAGGTCCCTTCCGACCCTACTTCTATGATCCTATGATTCTATGAATTCAAGCTCTCACAGGCTTGGAAAAGGGATACTAGGATGATCAGGGGAGTAGAGAGCCTAACATATTTGAGGAAAGGAAGAGGGCTTGCCTTTTTGCTTTGTTTTGTTTTGTTTTAAGTCTGTCTAAACAATGGTTGAATAGGGAACACAATTACTGCCTATGGACACAAGCAGGGAAATATACACCAGGGAGAGGAGAGCTATTTAAGCTAGAGGACAATGCTGGCAAAGGAACAAATGGGTATAAATTAAACTGGCATGAAAAAGTTTAGACTGGAGATTAAAAGAAGGTTTCTAATTCTCGGAGGGATGCCCCAAGTGGTGGGCCTGGCCTTCATAAAACAAAAGTCACAGATGTTTCTCATTCAGAAGTACAACACAAAGATTATTTGTTCTCCCTTGAGCAGGGAAAGGTCCTGTACCAAAACATACCAAATAAAGAAGCCCAATCATTTAGATCAGGGGTTTTCAACCTTTTTAAATAAGTGTACCCCCAGCAGCCGGACATGGAGTGGGAGGTGGGGGGGAGGGACAGGGTGGTGTGCGGCTGGATGCAGAGTGGTGGCAGTGTGGGGTGGTGGATAGCGGCAGCAGCCACTGCATGCAAGCTGCCCCCTCCCCTCATCTGCATCTGACTGGCTGGGTGGCACCTGTGCAGCCCGCAGAGGGACACAGAGGGGCACTGCTGCCCTCGCCTTTCCCTGGCCTTGCTTCTGGGAGGCAGTGGCATGGGCTGGTGGGTGGCAGCGCTCTGTCCCCGCCCACCTGTACATACCCCCTAGGGCCTTCCCAAGTAGGGGGGTATGCATACCCACAGTTGATGACAGCCCCTGATTGTGTCAGCCAAAGGGCTGGAAGGGATCCCAAAGGATCATTGGGTCCAGGCCCCTGCATGAGCAGGAAAGACATCTGGGGGCAGGTGACCCCAGCCAGGTGACCGTCCAGTCTTCTCTTGAAGACCTCTAGGGTAGATGATTGCTCCACCTCTGGGGGTAGCTTGTTCCATAGTCTGGACACCCTAGTTGTGAAGAAGTTTTTCCTAAAGTTCAGCCTGAAACTATCTTCCAGGAGTTTGTAGCCGTTGTTTCTAGTTTTCCCCCAGGGCACCCTGGTGAACAGTTATTCACCAAGCCCCTGATGTACACCTCTGATATAGCGGTAAGCCGCAATCAGGTCCCCTCTCAGCCTTCTTTTCTTTAGGCTGAAGAGTCCAAGATCCCTCAGCCTCTGCTCGTATGGCTTGCCATGCAAGTCCCTGATCATACAGGTGGCCCTTCTCTGGATCTTCTCGAGCTTTAGCACATCCTTGTTGAAGTGCAGTGCCCAGAACTAGACACAGTACTCCAGCTGTGGCTACACCAATGTTCAGTAAAGTGGGAGAATCACTTCTTTGGATTTACTGGAGATGCATCGATTGATGCGTGCCAGAGTTTTATTGGCCCTAGCAGCTACTGTGTCGCATTGCCAGCTCATATTCATGCTGGGGTCTATTGTTACTCCCAGATCCCTTTCATTTGTAATGCTGGTCAGGTTAGTGATGTCCAGCCTACAGGTGTGCTGGGGGTTCTTCCTTCCCAGATGCAGCACTTTGCATTTCTCTATGTTGACCCTCATCTGGTTCCGTTCTGCCCAACATGCCAGCCTGTCTAGGTCTGCTTGTCTCTGCAGCCTATCTGCGGGTGTGTCTGCACAACCCCATATCTTGGTGCCATCCACAGACTTGGCCAATGGGCTTTTCACACCCTTATCCAGGTCGTTGATGAAGATATTGAACAGCACTGGGCCAAGTACCGACCCCTGGGGTACGCTGCTGCCCACATCTCGCCAGGATGACCCCAATCCATTCATTTGGACTCTCTGCATCCTACCCCGCAACCAGTTTCACACCCACTTGATGGTCCCACAGTTAAGCCTGATATCTTCCAGTTTTCTGATCAGTACCTCATGGGATACCAGGTCAAAGGCTTTCTGGAAGTTGAGATATATGATGTCAACTGCTTCAGCAAGAGAGAAAACGTGTTTTCCTTCTTCATTATGGCAGTCTTTCAGGTATAGTGAAGACTGCTATCATGTCCCCTCTTAGTACCTTTTCCTCAAACTGAACATGCCTAGCTCCTTCACCCTGTCCTTATATGACTTGACTTCCAAGCCCCTTATCATTTTTGTCATCTGCCTCTAGATCCTCTCTAACTTCTCCATGTCCTTTTAAAACATGGAACCTAAAACTGCACCCAGTACTCTAGATAAGGCCTAACCAGTGCTGAGTAGAGAGTCATTATGACCTCCCGTGTCTTGCACCTAATGCTTCTACTGATGCATCCCAAAACTGCAGTCGCCTTTTGTGCAGCTGCATCACACTGCAGATGCATCTCTTAGGAACTGAAATGTTCTGCTTCCCATATTTCCTCCTTCTTATGTATTTTTCTTTAACCACCAGAGTGATACTGACAAAGCACTACATTCTGTTCCAAATGCCCGTAGCTGGAACTGGTGCTGCATTCTCTCTCACCCCATTAATCCTGGTGCCAGTGCCTAAAATAAATGCTACATTGACCTTTTGTGAATGCATATGGACTCAGATGGGTCTCAAGGACTTTCTAGAGGCCTCCAGCTCAGTCCTGTCTTTGGTATCATCAGCATTTCTATAGCAACCAAGTGTGATGTCAAACAAAGGACTGTATTTTTGGTGATAACAGCAGGAACCAATGAACTCTTCATGAGCAAAGATCCAATTTTCATGCAAATTTGTTGTGTAATGTCTGCAGCGACTGCTGTTTATTACTCTGATCATAATTATCTCACTGTTACCTTGCTGTCCCCCATCTGTCATACCCACCTGTTGTCTCGTTTTGTAGTTAGACAAAGCTATAAAATCTTTGGAAAAGGGGTTATCTTGTTGACGTGGATATGATGCAAGTACCCCATTCTAATATTATAAAAGCCTTAGTTTGTCTGCGCGTAAGGCTTTATTTGCACTCTGATTGGCTGACTGAAACAACTAATCAGAGTGCTTCAAAAGTGTTCGGACAGGAGATGGTGGGGACACGGGGCAGAGCAGGGGCGGGCCCGCTCCCTGCAGGCAGCAGCGATGGAGCAGGGGGAGCGGGCCCATTCCTCCCTGGCTGGATGAGAAGCAGGGCAGGGCCAGATATGGGGGGATGTGGAGGGATGTGGAGCTGCCAGGGCCTGACAAAAGCTGGCAGGGAGGGGGAGGAGGAAGGGGATTGGCGGGGGACATGGTGGCAGCATCCTGCTGTCGCCACTGCACCCCAACAGCAGCACTGAAGGGAGGGAGTGGGTTCGGCCCTGAACTGGCAGGGGTGAAAGTGGGGGGAGCGGACCCATTCATCCCCTCCCCTCCCCAGATGAGAAGTGGGGGTGGGGCTGGATGTGGGACTCTGTCCCTGCCTGCCAGGATGGCAGGGAGCACGCTGCTGCCGCTCCGCCACTGCCAGGCCCAGACAAAAGCCAGCAGGAAGGAGGAAGGGGGGTACAGTGACTTCACCCCACTGCGGGGCCCTGCCAACAGCTGGGATGGAAGGAGGGAAGTGGGAAGTGGAGGCAGGTGGATGCGGGCCTGGAGGACCTGGAGCGCTGGGTTGGGGGGAGCGGCACTGGAACCAAAGTGGGGATGGGGTGGGAATGGCCCCGAATCTGAAGGTGGGGAGGGGGGAAATGGGTCTGGACTTGGGAGAGGGGGCAGGGGAGCAGGGCCAGACCCGATAAGGGATGGGAAGGCGGGGACATGGGCCTCTGTCCCGACCCCCCCACTTCATTCTTGATGGGCAGTTGGCTAGTTTAGCATAAAGGGGCCTCTATGCGCTAGTGTAACACAAATAAATTAGTACTAGGAAAGGAATGAAAAGACCAGTTGCACACATTATTCAAGCAGAATTTTTCCTAAACCAAAATGGTTTTAATTAGTTTACTAGTTGCATCAGCAACTCATATGATAAGATTTAACAAATTTGTGCATAGCATACAGCACCTGGATGATTGCATCTTGTATGAATCTTTATTCAAGACTATGGACCAAATTCTGCTTTCACTTACACTCCTTGCAGCTCTATTGGTGTGAGTCTCCTGTAGCCTGGAAACAGAAAAGATGAGTAAAAAATTTCAGTCCCCTAAAACCAACCCATCTTCATTTGTAATACTGCATATCTAGTGGAGCAAAACAATACATCAGGAAAAACAGCAGTTAGATATAAAGCATATGATTTAGCTTCATAGCAGTAGGGAGAAAGCATACAATTTTTATCATACTTCTGATCTAGACAAAAGGTCTCCCCCCTTCTCTGTGTGGTAAAATTATAATGCAGCAAAGAGAACATTTATCTAGGTGGGGCTTTCTGCATTTAAAAGTAAATTGATTTGGAAAGTTAGTTGCTACCTGTATACTGCTTGCTGGTTGGGAGAGTTGCTGGACAAAAAGTAGAACATGCTATAGGCCAGAGAAACTGAGACTGGCACAACTGGGATGAGCAGGAATAGGATTGGAGCTGGAGGAAAGAAGCAGGGAAACTAGGTGAACTGAAATGCATCCAATCCATATATGACTTTTACAATGGGGGTAACTGCAGGGCATCTTGGAGGTTTGTTGGGAGAGAGAGCAATAAGAGATGTTGAAGGACAAAGCTGAATGGGGAGAAAGTTCTACAATCTACATCAAACGTCCATTAAGTTAAACAGAAGAAAAAGTGACTCTTTTCTGTGCATGTAGAAATCCCTCCCTCCCCCCTCGCCCCCATCCCCCGCCCCAGTGGGTTCTCCAGCTTCGAGTTCTCTTTAATGCTACAATAGTAATAATGAAAAACAAAAAACCCACAAAAAACCAACAACAGCAAAAACTCTCAAACAGACGAAACACACAGCTCCCACACAATAAAAATCATGTACATACCTCTTTGTATTTATTTAATGGGAGCTATAAGGCCACAACTTACACTGGTCTATAATTTAACCTGCACACTCACTGGCTCTAAGATTTTATGGGTAAAAGCAATATGTGAACCAAACCTACTGCAGAACCACACAAGAAGGATACAGCACTGGCAGAAGGAGGCTCTCAATGATTGTGCCATAGTGAACACACAAAGAAAACCACTTCATGCTGTTAGACTTCAGGGAGGAGAGGGAGGGTGCTCTGTTCACTGCAGTACATAGACTGAGACTGACTTGCATGCTGTCTTTTCAGCATGGCAGGTGATCTTATCCAGTATGATTCATCTTACATGGTATGATGATCACTGCCTGGACAAATGAAGAAACACAGAGATATTTTAAAAGGGCTTTTCCAAGGTATTTTTCATCCTTTTATGATTTGGAGGATAATGATGCAACAGCCCCAGAGACATTAATAAGAGGACTGGAAACTTTTCCATCTCTTGTTTCAAGATATTGACCACATATATATATAATAAGAACACAAAACCCAGGTATGCTGGTTTCTAGGACTGGCTGGGTACTACTGACAGTTTATACAGGCATTTTTTCAAGCCTCCTCACAGACCTTCTGAAGGGCACCCATTCACAGAAGGTACAGTGGACCAGAGAATACACCCAACTGTTTCAAAGGCTGAAGGCTTGCCTATGCCAGGAACCAGTCCTGTATAACGTGAACTTTTCAAAAGAGTTTATATTCTAGACAGATGCTTCTGGTGTGGGGCTGGCAGCAGTGTTGTCTGAAACAGTGAATGAAGAGGAGCACCCCATCCTCTAGCTGAACTAGAAGCTACTCCCAAGGGAGAAGAATTACTCTGTTATTGAAAATCAGCACTGGCAGTAAAATGGGTGGTGGATATTATCTGTGTGGCAGGTTCATCACCTTGATCACAGACCAGATGCCCCTCCACTGATTATACACCATGAAGGAGACAAATCCCCAAATTATGAGGTGGTACCTGGTCCTGCAACCCTTCTCCTTCCAAATCCATCATAGGACCAGAAAGACCCACACAACGCAGGTCTTTTTTCCTCCACAGGAGCAAGAGAACGTATCCAGGGAGGGAAGTAGCCTGAAAGGGGTCTTGAGGGGGAGGGTGTGTGATGGCATGGACTGGCTTGCCCTGTTGAGGAAGGGGTTAAAAAGAATTCCTGGGCTGTGCTGGCCCCATCCCGGTATGCTTGCAGCCAATGCCAGGTCTGCAGGAGTGGTATAAAAGAGGGAAATCAGGCTCAGAGAAGGGAGGATTTCCAGTGCTGATGTAGCCTAGCTCTTGGCTGGATGTCCTCTAAGGCTCAACCTGTGCAAATTCCCAGGTCAGTGTGTGTGCTTGTGCAGACTGTAGCCTGGGGACCAGGGAGCTGCCCTAGTGCCCCATTAAAATGTTCATGGATATATCAGATATCTAAGGTCATTGCAAGTAGTACAGAAAACTTTAAGCACAGTACCATCATGTTCCACCCTGGGAGACATTTTTTGTTAGCAGTCTGCAAAATGTCAGTGTTGCAGTTGCTAATAATGCACCATCAGATACAGGATACTGAAACTTGCTGCTTCTTTGTCATGTCTTATCAGACTGTTGCATGGACACTATCTTGCTCTTGTAGAGCTTTTCTTGACAGTAGCCAGACTGTTGACAATGATGGGTGCTTTAGTATTAAAAACCCCACAAAAAAATTAAAAAACCCTACTGATAAATGTGTTTTTACTAAAAAAAAATCTACTTAAGAGAGAATGAAGATAAAAGAGCAGGGATCTGAACTTCTTAAGTGTCCCTCATCCTTGCTATGAAATGTATGATCTGTTTTTGTTTAATGATAATATGTACAGTCTTACAGTTCAAGAGCTCATAAACAAATCCCTTCTGAACTCCCGATGAGCATTTTAAACACTTAACACACAAACAAGCCCACATGAACCCATTTCCGGTAGGATGCAGAACCAACATATATGACCAGAACATGGGGCTTAGTTACTTTCAGGTGGACCAGATGCAAAGAATTACAAGGCTTACCTGAGCACTTTAATACAAAGGGAAAGCTCTCTGTAACCTGAGACATTGCACCCAATGTACTTGATAATATCATCTTATCTATCCTTCCTAGCTAGAGCAAACTGCCTCATACTTTCTGCTGAGTAACTACAGACTCTTATAGCAAGGACTTAAGAGATCAAAGAATCTGATTGGCACTATTTATGTGAAAAACAAATCATCTGTTTCCCTTCAGTTACTAATGAAAGTCAATTTCCATTGCCAAGCTCCTGAAAGGAGGCCAGGAGCTTAAAGAGTCTGGAGACTGAAATACTTCCTACACTCTAGACTTCCAAGCAGTTAGGCAACTGGGACGTGTTTTGGGAATGTATGGGGAGGGAAACCAGCAATAAAAACTGTATTAGTCCTGCACCTGTGGTGAGAAGGGTGAGAAATGGCATAGAAGCACAAGGGGAGCACAAAATATCTTTAAACCCTAAACTCAAGGGTGGGCAATTATTTCAGGCGGAGGGCCATTTACCCAGTTTTGGCAAGCTGTTGACGGCTGCATGGGTAGTCCCCCCCCTTGACAGGTGCCCCTCCCCCTGGCCACTATCTTGGGACCAATGTTCCAGGGCCAGCACCGGTGGGGCCCAGAGTGGGGCGCAGGCTGGCAGGGGTCTGTGGAGCTGGGCTGGGCTGGGCTGCAACAGCAGGGAGAGCGGGGAGCTGGCCTGGTTCCATAGAGCCTCTGCTAGCTGGGACCACAGGGCACTGGCCCTGGGACATGGGTGCGGGCCCTGCTCCCACACCCGCTCACTCCCAGTGCTCCCCCAGCCCCGTGGTACAGGCACAGGGCAGCACGCAGCCCCAAACCCCTGCTCGCCAGCAGGGGAGGAGCTGGTGCTGATCGTAGGGGAAAAAGCAGCCCCTTGCCCACCCTGTGGCTGGTGCTCCCTGCTGCAGCCATCCCCCGGCTGCAGCCACTCACAGCCCGTTCAGGGCTGTTCTGAGCAGGCACAGGCAGCCCCAGGTGGGCTGCAAGCGGCTGCAACGTGGGCTGCCAGCCAAAGGGTGGGCGAGGGGCCGCTTTTCCCCACACCCAACACCAGCTTGTAACCCACCCCTGCTGCCAGCCTGAGCCCTGTGCCAGCTCTGGGCTTGCCCATCAGGGCTGTGCCACGACAGCAGCAGCTGCAGCCCCCGCACTTGGTGTACCGGGCAGTGTTTCCTGCTGCCACCTGCCCAGAGCTCGTGCCGTGGTAAGCTGTGGTGAGGCTGCCACCGCTGCCTCTGGGCTGCCTAGTGCATGAGCTCCAGGTGGGCAGCAGCAGCCAGCACTGCCCAGCATGGCAACTGGGGCGGCCGCTGCTGCTGCCATTGCAGCGCAGCCCTGATGGGCAAGCCCAGAGCCACACGGGGCCCAGGCTGGCAGTGGGGGCAGGTTACAAGCTGGTGTTGAATGTGGGGGAAAAGTGGCCCCTTGCCTGCCCCGTGGCCAGCACCCCACACTGCAGCCACTCGCAGCCTGCATGGGGTGGCCTATGCCTGCTCAGGACAGCCCTGCATGGGCTGTGAACAGCAGCAGCAAGGAGCCAGCCATGGGGCGGGGGAGGGGCCGCTTTTTCCCCCACACTCAGCACCAACTTGACCCCTGGCCCCCCCCCCCTTACCTGAGCTTCCCACACTGGGGCAGCCACATGGTCCCAGGCCAAAAGCCCCAGCTGCGGGGGTGGTGCTGGGTGGACCCTGCTCTTGCAGGAGCCTGTTGGGGCTTCCTCTGGGTCCTGCTGCCCCTGGCTCCTGTCATCTTTGACAGGAACCAAGGACAGATACGTTTTAATTTTCTAAATATTTTTAGGGGCCACGTGGGCCGGATAGAATGGCCTTGCAGGCCAGATCTAGCCTGTGGGCCATATTTTGCCCACCTCTGCCTTAACTCTTACCTTCAGTTATGCTTCCAATTAGGGTCTGAGGTACATTGGTAGGACAATGATGCTGCCTAATATATATCTGTTCTATTAATCCCAGAACACACTAGTCTCTAGAACTTTCAGTTGAAATGAGCATTAAAGTCACTTAAAATGATTAACAGAAATATAGTGGCCAGTAATGTTTCTGAGCCAGGGCATCCATTGAGAGAGAGGTTGCTTTGGCCTACACATTGTGGAACAAAACTTGGAGCCAGCACCATGGTCTAATTCCTGGTAGTGTCAGAGTCAGACTAAAAACTCTGCTTCAGTTTCTGGATGGCAGAGTTTAAATATCTTGGACCTGGATTTTATAGCTGTTGGGAACGTGTAGCCCTACTGACCTAAGCATCTTCAACTAAAGTCAACAGACGCTGCAGGAAGGTCAAGTCTAAGATCATGTCCCCCTCAAAAAGTTACAGGTCACTTTTAAAAGTTAGGGCCTGCATCACTGCCTGTATTTTCCCATTTGTAAAATGGAGATAATATTTACCTGTCCCACCAAGGACACTTATTTGCTTTGAGATCCTCAGGCAAAAGATACTAGAGATTTGCAGAACTTTCATTCTCCCTAAAGAAGCTGGGACTCAATAAATGCCCTCCTGGAAAATGAAGTGGTTAATTAACCTGAACTACCTTCATAAAGGCATACTACCAAAATGTTGGTGCATGGACATAGCTGTTGACCTGCCTCACTGGCAAGGCTGACCAAATGAAATAGCCCTTCTCTAGATCAAAGGAAGTTAATTCAGACCAGAAATTTATGCTTGCTCCTTTGAAACATTAGAAATGTTAGAGCCTGTGAGGGGAGTCAGCCCATGTCACCATATCCAAGACACACCCTTGTCTACTTTGTTTGGTAATAGCTAGGTCACCTACTCAGACAATCAACTTCGTCAGGGATGGCATCCTGCCAGTTACCACGGAAGACTTCAAAACTCTAAGTCTTGCCTTCAAGAAACTGCCAATAAATCCCAATGGTCTTCCCAACAAACAGTCTCAAATCTTCTTCGTGGGCAAAACTATCAAGAAGATGAGAGCAAATCAACTTCAAGGGAACTTAATTTCCACTATTCTCGGTAGAAGGGACTCAGATGTAACAGCATTATGGAAAAAGCAGTAGTAATTGATCTGTTCATAGCTATAAGGTTTGTAGGGTTTTTCTGATTATAGCTATACTCCTTTTAGATCTATCAGCCATTTACAGAACAATCAGCCATTAGCAGTTCTGTAACAACTCCATTTCCTTTTAAGTTTAACACTTTGAACATGGCATTGACAGCTTCAGATATCCCTTACCAACTAAACATGTGTGGAAACCCCAGAGGCCATGCAGAACTTGCTTCTCCTGTTCTTTTAGGTTGCACCCAGAAGTCCTGTGACTGCTTTGCAGCGTAATTTTCTGTAGATTGAAGTTTGCTATGCAACAGTGTTCACAATTGGCCCAGAGGTAGACTTGCCTTCAGAGCCTTCATTCATGATTTGGCTCAAACACTGTGCAAACAAAAGAAAAAAATTACTCTACTGATTCGTAACCCTGTCTGTAAGTCTCTGAGATTCTAAATGACTGGTCTCTAATTGATTCTTTAGGGTAAGAACAAAGCCTTGTATTTATGCATTGCTATTAGTATACAGTAATGGTTTGTTATGGGACCTCCTTGTTTATTAGGAAGGGATACTTGTGTCATGGGTCACTGGAAATTTAATTTTCCCTTGATTTTATAGCAGCAGCTCAGATTTAATTTAGGTCTTTGTTAACCAGGTCTTATTCAAGCAAAGAAAAAATAATCCCTTCCCTATATAGCCAGGGCCGTGGTGTGGGGCGGGATTGGTGCAACTGCCCTGGGCCCCCCACTCTGGGGGGCCCCACAGAGCCAGGCAGAGAGGCCGTGGCTGGAGTTTAGCCCACCGGCCTGCCCGGCGGGTTGGGTGGCTATTTGCTTGTTCTGGCTGGAAGTTCCAGCTGCCACCCGTCCCACTGCGTCCGGTATGCCGGGGCTCTCACACCCTAGCGTAAGTGTGCTGTGGGTTGGGGAGGGGTCCCTGCACAGGGTAGGGGCTCTTTGCCCTGGGCCCTGCGCCCTGCCAGGATCATCTCTGCATACAGCTGTAAATTTTTTTTTTATCAGTTAGCAAAGCTCACACATTGACTTATTTATACTTAATGGGCACATCTACACAAGATGTTTACTGCAGAGCTGCCTAATTAGCTCTGCAGGAAAGTCTCCACATCTACATGTGTGGCCCTATTAGGCTGCAGTAAACTAAGTAACTCTGCCATAGGTTAGTACTTGTAAATACAAATACTATCTTGCAGTGGTGTTCTTTACTGTGCAGCAATGCACATGTAAATGCTGATGGGGCTGGATGGGGCTTAAGTGCTTCAGTGCAGGGCCTGCCTGCCAGCTAGCCCTACACTGGAACACACTCATGTTCCAGCCAGCCCCTCCGCAGCGTATTGAGCTGGGTCGGAGCGGCCCTAGGTTAGCAGGCTGACCACCCCAAACCCTTGCTAGCCAGGGCTGCTCCAACCCAGCTCAATGTGCTGCAGTCCTGGGTGCATATGTAAACATGGTGCCCAGGAACAATAAACTATGGTGTGATATGTGCCAGAGTTTATTGCTTCACTTTAATATCCTGTGTAGATGCACCCAATATGTACTAAATGAGGATTCAAAGCAAATGCTTAAAACTGAATCCTACCCTCCCTCTGAAATCTGGAGAGAGATAGGAAATAACAAAAATCAGCATAAAGAACCAAGCCCACCTGAGAGACTGTACTATGCCCCTTGAACAAGACAAAGAGAAAAACAGGTATTAACTCCCTCGCTCCTTTCCAGCTGGTAATCTCTGAGAGCAGTGGTCCCCAACTTTCACCAACCTAGGGGAAACAATACCAAGAAAGTATGGAATGCAATCCAGGCAAGGTCACGCTTTGCTTTCAACGTCAATGTGAGTAAATGTGCATCTATGGAAAGCAACATTTCCTTTTGCTATAAACAGCAGGTCTCATGGGGAGCTTGTTGGCTGCAAGCCTAGGTTGGGGAGCACACTCCTAGAAACTGGCCATTTAAGAGATGCAGGTGTTTACCTCTGCCAAATTTAAAGGGCCCTTGCCATAAAGGCATACTGGGAAAAAGACTTCTACCAAGCTTTCCTTCTGATAGTCTACAGGAAACTACCAAAAAAAAGAATTAGATTGTTCAGGTATTTTTGAGGCTTGCTATAACATATAGCATTGTATTTGTTTGTTTGTTTTAAAAGTTTGGGTTAAAGGTTAGAGTTGACTTACTTTCTGCATATTTTTCAGAGCGGGACAGGTGGATGTGGAACGGCGGGGTAAGGTAGATGGGTGATGCAGGGCTGGACACAGAGTAGTGGGGGGTGTAGTGCAGGGCCAGATGCGGAGCAGCAGGGAGGTGGCGCGGGGCCAAATGCAGAGCAGCGGGACAGGGGGTGGTGCAGGGCCGGACGTGGAGTTGGGGTGTGGCACGCAGCCGGATGCGGAGCGGCAGCAGCATGGGTTGGTGGGTGGCAGCGGCCCCCCACTGTCCCGTGCTGGGGGGGGCACGGGGCTGAGGCGAGGGAGTAGGAGGGGCGCGTGACCAGATATGAAGTGGGGGGGAGGTGGCACGCGGCCGAGCACAGAGTGGTGGCAGCACAGGGCAGAGGGTGGTGGCGGTAGCTGCCGTGTGCAAGGTTCCCTCCTCCCCCCTGCTCTCCTGGGAGGTGGAAGCAGCCCGGGGTGGTGGGTGGTGGTGCTCCATCCCTGCCCCCATCATTCTTGATGGTCAATTTGTTAGTTATCTAGAACAGGGGCTGTCAAGCGGGGGTACTTGAGAAGGCCCTAGGGGTTACACGTGGGTGGGTGGCGATGGAGCGCCGCCTTGCAGCATCCCACACTGCTGCACAGGCTCTGTCTACCTGGCCGTATGCGGGGGGCGGGGGAAGCTCATATGCGGCGGCTGCCGCCATTCTGCATGCAACCACATGCCACCCCTCCCTCTCCTCCCACTCGGCATCTGGCCATACGTCATCTGCCCCCCCCACCCAGCTCAGCAGCCGGGGGTATACTGCTCTGTGTCTGGCTGCTCTGTGTCCAGAGTACAATGATCCAAAAAGGTTGAAAACCCCTGATCTAGAACAGGGATATCTATGCTCAAAGCAAGGCCGGACCCTTTCCAAGGTCATGGGTCCTCCTTGTGCTAATACTAGCTTAGCTGAACTGGTGGTAACACTGATAGGAATGGTTTAAAATTCCCTAGTATAGTCAGCATTTTATATCTTAAGATGTCTTGTGAGTAGAGTAAGCATGTGAATAAGAGTAAAGAAGTGCAGTAAGCACATCTCCCCTTTCTTGCTCTTGGCATTGCACCTAAATTTGCTAAGTCCAGCTTTCCTGACCTGCTGCACCAAAATCCCTGGTCCTAGTAACCCCAAGGAAACAGTACCTGCCAAGGCCCTACAGAAAACAGCTCTTATCTGGTTGGGTGATCTGAGAAGCACTCCCTTACTCTACTAACATTAAACCATAGCAAAAGGCTCTCCTGCTTATCACTCTAGACCTTTTTAAAATAACTTGTATTATGCCCTTTTTCACTGAAGGGTTCTAACATACTTTGCAAATGCTGACAGAGCTAACTGGGGCACAGCTCTGGATTGTCAAACTTGCAGGAGGCTGAAGGTATTAAACCTGTAGGTGCATGCCGAATGCCCTTAGATGTGCTGGGTAGGTGACATTCAAAGTCAGAGGAGTCTCTTTTCTAACATGCTAAGAGTATAAATGGCCATAAGACCATCTAGGGAAAACTGTGAGGCAGGAATACAACATCATCCATTACTCTTGTGAAACAATTCCCTCCGAAAACCTGGATTGTGTGTAACCTCATTCCCTTATGCTCCTTCTCACTGTGCTAACTGCCCCTCCCCAGCAGAAACTAATGGTTCACTGAGGAAAGACCTGCTAGAGCTGAAGGGTGGCATCAGGCTCTTGAGGTGAAGGTGCCCTTGGTATTCTGGCTGCTTCTCACACTGTGCCTCTTGGGCCTTGTAAAAATACTTCATGAAGTGATGCTGAGTAGGGAGGGCACAGCAGAATGGCTTTAGGGGGAATTAGTGCTCCTGCATCTAAGGGTGGGTTGTTGGAGGATGATGCATCTTCTCTGTTGTTCGTAAGCCATGATGAACTTTCATATTGGTCAGTGGGCATGTCTAAACATGTGCTTTAATCCGCAGTAGACTATTTTACTGCACATTAAAGCATCACGTAAAAACATGCAAATGTGCTACTGCACATTAGTGCAGCATAATGTGCATCAACTTAGTACCTCACATTAGAGGGCGCTCTACACAAGCATGGAGGCTGCTCCGACACACTGGAATTCTAGCATCGGAGCAGACCTGATTAACTGAGTCTGCTGGAGCATAACAATTACCGCAGTCCAGCAGCCTCCTGCATCTCATGTATCAGCATCCCCATGCTTAAAAATGGTGAAGGGGGCACTTGAACTAAAGTTCACAGAACGAGCTTTAGTTTAAGTGCTCTCACCACCATTTTGAAGTGTGGGGACGCTGATACACAAGATGCAGTGGCACTTTAATTAAAGTGCTGCCCCTCCCCACACCCCCAGAGCATATGTAAAAGTGCACAGAGGTACTAAATTTAATGCACGTTAGAAAAGGCACATTAATGCATGTGTAGATGTGCCCAGTCTCTCTGATAGGTAGGAAAGGCATCTTTTATAAGGTGCCTTCAGGAAGCATTTCTGGATCTGTGGTGGGGCGAGGAAAAACCTAGGGAGACTTGGTTGAGAACCTTGATATATGGTCTAAGGAGGCTAGGAGATTTGCTTCAGGTTTACAGGTAGTTAATTTATTTTGTATAAGGATGAAGCAAAGAGCCTTTAACCGTGTTTGGAACATGCTTCCCACATCCGTTTACAGCTTCCAAATAATAAGAAGACTCAGAGGAGCACAGCTTGTCCTTTTACTGAGACTAGTTTCCAGATGTCAAAATGTTTCAACAAACTATAACACATGATGGGGACAGCACATCCAGTGCTACAGTGATGGAGCTGAGAAGGTCATATATACTTAGACTGCCAGAGGAACATATTCCCAAAGATCAGGGTTAATAGCTCTCAGAAGCTCTTGACCCCAGGACAAATTGTTTGTATATATTCTGAAAAGAGATTTCCCTTGCCCTCTTCCTGTTTTCTAATGTTATTTACCTCTTAATTTACAAAAGCCACAGCCTAGTTTTATAATTGTGATGGTGTGAAAAACAAGAAGAGGAGGAAATATGAACAAGACATAGTATGATGGTAAGAAAGAAGGAAGCCAATGAAAATCATTGTGACAGGGCTTGTGACCACAGGAGCGGATGTGATGCCTGTAACAGGGTCCTGACTGAAACCCTGTTACCTGAGAGATTTTGGCAGCTGAAAGTGATTACTGCCCGGTGGGGGAGGAGGCGCCCCATGCCCACTGAGAGCCAATGGGACTCGGCACTGAGGGATATGAGGAGGAAGAGGTCTGAGGAAGGGGCCTTCAGGCACCACGAGAGGAAGAGGTGCCACTAAGGACTCTCGCTAAGGAGGATCCAGAGGGAGGATTCCAGGCGCAAGGGTCAATGTGGGCCAAGTGACGACAGAACCCAGGACCTGTAGCCCATCCGTGCCACATACCTGGAGCTCGAAGCAGCGGCGGTGAGTCAGAGCAGAACAGAGCCGCAGCACAGGGAAAAGTCGTGGCTTCATGCTGAGACACAGAGAAGCAATGCGGGAGTCAAAGGGGGGTGGAGGCCACCCGCCCAGCCCCTGAAGAAGCCAGGACCCAGCACCCGAACTTGAAGAAAAAGGGGAGTTGGGATAGAAGGTGGATAAACGCCCAGATCCGCACCCTGGCATGGAGCGTGAGAGGAGAAATCAGGCGTCGCCCGTAATTAGCGGCGGGGAAACTGAGACGTTCCTCTACACTTACTGTTCCAATTAAGTTGGCGGAGATCCTCTTTGGAGCTCAGGGGTGATCCCAGAGATGACGCTGATAAACTGCTGCCCCTTCTGGGCTGTCGTGTAAGAGACAGAGCAATAAAGCACCTAGATTGTAGTTCAACCAAGCGTGGTCCTTTCGTGGGTACTAACTAGGGTAACATCTCTTCCCTCCCTATTTCTTTAATTAGATCAAAGTTGTGGCAGTAGAGAACCAAGGGATTTAGGTGGTGTGAACACGCTAACAATGCCCTCTACTGGTTCTGCAGCTCCTGCCTAGCTCAGACTCTAATGCAGAGGTGGGCAAAATGTGGCCTGCAGGCCGGATGTGGCCCACCAGGCCATTCTAGCCAGTCCATGGGGCCCCTAAAAATTTTAGAAAATTAATATTTATCTGCCCCTGGCTGCCTGTCATGTGGCCCTCAATGGCTTGCCAAAACTCAGTAAGCAGCCCTCGGCCCAAAATAATTGCCCGCCCCTGCTCTAATGTCACTCTCTCTAGATTGCTCTCCTGCCATGACTTGCTCTTAATATTAAAGGTTGATTAAGAGAGGCTGCCAACAGGCTTAAAGAGTGAGCCCTATTCCTAATAACTTCCTACTGGTCTCAATCCAGCCCTCAGGCCTGATAGGCCCCTCTCGGCCTGGCTAGGCCCCTGTAGATCACCTTAAGGGCAAATTGCATGGTTCCTTTTCCTCCCCTACACCATGCCCCAAGCCTCGCAGATGTTATTGTATTGTTGTTCACTTGTTGGGCTTTGGCCTCCTCAGTCACCACCCTTTTCCTCAGCCGCACCTTCTACTGTGTCAGACCTGGGTTTGAGGCATTAGCTCTAGTTTGTCCCTTTCAGTCCCCGGGCCCCTGTCCCCTGTCTGCTAGGCTCCTGGCCTGTGTGTGGCTGCACCCTTCTCTGGTGCTAGGCCCCTGGCCCCTGTCTGGCCCAAATATAGCACCGTGCCCACTCTGGGCTCAACAGTCACTTATGACTATGTCCTTCTTGGGCACTGGGCTCCTGGCCCCTGAGTGGCTGCATCCTGCTCAGGTGCCAGGCCCCTGCATGGCTCTGCAGCCTTGCATGCTGCCCCTCTCTGGGCTCAACAGTAGCTCAAGCCTTGAGCCTGCCACTGGAAGGGCTCAAGGCAATTATGTGCCCTTCAGGCACTATTGGGACCTCCGTAAGCTTCCCCTTACAGTCCCAACCCAAACTACTGATATAAACAGTAACATGAACCATAAGCCCCCAGGCTATAGCAGAAGCACAAATAACAGCAGAAGCAGCACTCTGACCCTTTTAAGAGGGCAAACTTTTCTCATTTTCCAGCAGGCATATGTTCCAGCCCAGGGCTATACTCTAGCTATACACTCAGCCCCCTTGGGCTCTCAGACCTTGTGGGCCCACACACAGCCCCTCCTCTGGGCTCTCAGACCCTCTAGTTCCATATGCAGCCCCTCTTCCAGGTTCTCAGACCCTATAGTCCCAGCTCAGCCCTTCCCTGGCACATGGACCCTCTGGTAGGCACCTCAGACCCTCTAGGGGTTAACAGAAAACAAAGGCCAACAAAGGCCACTTGCCTGTAACCCAGTCTTTCTCTGTCCAGGGAACTTACCTCTGTTCCTAGGGCTGCATATTTGTTTAACTAAATCCAGGTCCCTGCAGGAGCCCTGCAACCAGGACCTCCTTGTGAAGAAATCCCTCTCTGTCTGACCCTGTCTTGGGTCATTCCAGCTGTGCCCCTCTCTCTTTCACTTGTTTGCTATTTGGTTCAGGCTGGTTGACCAGGTGACCTTGCCACACAAATTCCTGAAGGGTGGGAGGAGCGCTCTCTCTTCGTCTGGGTGCATTTTGAAAAAGCCATAAGCCACATGCCTCCAGGTACTGCCTGGATGAATCCCTGTAAGTAAAGACCTAGAAACTAGATAGTAGGTTAGAAGTAAGCATAGATAATCGCGTCTTAAAAAGGATCACCATACGCAATATCTGTAAAGGCCTAACTTATTTTGGTTTGCTCAAAGTGTATTATGACTCCTTTGTTCTCCCACCCCCATCAATAAAGGCATCGGGTTACAGCATGCCTGGCTGTTTCACTGTGTAAGGGTCTGGGAAGATGTTACACAAATTGCCAATTGCTCAAATTATGAGTGAGACCTTATGAGGGAGGATAAGGCAAGATACTGCATTTATTGATTAAGCACTTAATACACACCTACCCACATACACACACACACCACATTCATGCCCCAATTCCTGTTCTGCACTGGTATAAATTACCAATCTTATTGGTGCTTGGATCAACTTAGTGGCCAGCCAAGTTGATCACAAGTGGGAGCCGGGCTCCTGCTGGTCCATCTCATCAGACGAACCAACGCTCCAAGATGACATGCAGAACAAGACCCAAAATCGATGCGTCTCACTCATCTTTTATAGCCTTATCAATTCACCCAGGCTCTGGGCTGAAAGAGGCACCCAGAAATACTGCCAGGGCTTGCAGGGTCTATGTACCCCGAACTGCACAGAGCCCGGCCAGAGATCAGTGCCTGGGTGGTGGCAGCATTACCCCAGGCTTGTGGGTGTTCTTCAGGAAGGGGGGCAGCTGGCCATAGGCTCCCCAGGGGAGACTCCCTAAGCATGGTTTTGGGCCTGACACTGTGAGGCCACCACATTCCTCACTTCATGGTTGCCAAAGAGAGACTCCCTGATGCATGCAGGCTCTGGGCTTTATAGCTCCAGGGCTAGCCTGCTTCCAGTCAGGTGAGTCTCTCATTAACTCCCCTCTGCCACCTGCAAGCAGCCTCTCAGGCTGCTTGCTCTCTTAAAGAAGCAGGTACATCCCAGTGTTCCAATCACAAACAGAATTGGGTTTTGGCTAATATTGGCATTCACACCAGAGAGGAGCTGGAGCATCTAACATGTTGATGAACCTGTAACATCAGTGTAAGAGGGAGCCAGCGGCCCTGTTACGGAGCCGCCTGAGAGAGGCATAAATTGTCAATCCGGAATGCCTAGACTGGCAAGGGAGCCAGTCCTGAAACTTGTTAATTGGCAATTGAGGGTTCCCAGACCGGCAGCAAGGTCATCTGGGAACTGTTAATTGATACTAAGAGACCTTGTATAAAAAGAACAGAGACTGACTGAAGACAACCCCTGGAAGAGGAACCAGTACAGGGGCTAACACAAGCCCGAGCGACGGAGGCATAGGCACGGAGGTGAAAGTGGAGGTTTCCTCTCATGGATGACAGGCGGAGGAGCTGTTGGAGAGTTTGTGAATGAAACTGGCACGGCAATCACTGGGACAGGTTCTCCCTGTTATTGAGAGACTGTGATGGAGGGAGATAGTCCCAGCTATTCCCAGTAATTTTGAGAGACTTTGCCTGAGCAAGGTGGGGACTAGATGTGGCTGCAAAGTTCCTGGAGACAGCAAGTTGTTGGAGAGCCCTAATCATCCCAGCTGAGGTGAAAGAAGAGAGGATCGCAGGCTGCCATATGCAGTCTTGGTATGGCAAACTGCCATTTCATCACGGGGTGGGGAGCATGGACAGTGCCATCACTCATGTTCCCTAAGTATGCAGAGGCTTCTGACTGAGCCTACTGAGGCATTGTACCAGCAGAGCTTAAACCCGCACCAGCGGTCAGAGATGGCAGCAGGATGTGGTGCAACATGTTGAACCCTTTATTAAACCAGAAGCTTTCCACCTGTGCTCTCTTTACCTTTTTCTTTTTACTCCCATCAAGTCATGGCAGGCGAGAACAAGCACAGGCCTGGGAAGTGGGTCTGAACATGCCCATTGACTGATCCAAGCAGCCCACTCACAATCAGCTTCTAAAACCTGTTCAACAAATATTTAAAAAATCTTTAAAAATCTTAAATAGCAAATAAACAAACCAGAAAGCCTAACCAGCATAGCAGTTAGGACTAGGGAGTGAAGATTCTGCTCCTGTTCCTGGCTGTGCTGCTGGTTCACCATGCCCTGAGCCATGCAACTATTCCTCTCAGTATCTTGGGTTTCTCCAAATGTAAAATAGGGAGGATAATACTTCATAATCTCATTTGGGTGGTGCAAGGCTAAACTCAACTTCATAAAGGGCTTTGGCCTTCTATAGCACCTTCTGGCCAAGAATATCAAAGTAATACTATATGGAGCCACATCTCTTCCCTTACTTCTCCACTTCCTTGCATGCCCATCCCCATAGGAATAAAAATTTATCCCAATATATCAGATATTAGTATCATAGCAGAGGTTTTGCAAGAGGAAACAAAAGTCAAGGTTATCTTTGTGTATGGCCCTAATTGGAACAGATATATGATTGCATGGATCACAAATGTCTTCTAGAGAGGTTTTAAACTTAGCTTTTGACCACAAATTACTAGGGTGCAGAATTTTCCATAGCAAAAAGGCAGCTGTATAAAAATGCCACACACCATAACTGGAAACATGGCCTTAATGAAGTCAAACAAAAACAGGACTTAATTAGATTCTCCCAGAAGGGCAAATCTCTGAAAGGTGTGAAGTATTTGCCTGTCATGTTCCAGGTGGATGGGAAGAGTAGGTGCTCTGCACCTCTGAGGATTCTGCCTATTTGATTAAGAGCTGGTTTGACTGTGTGCCTTAGGAGTGTGCCATTGTGCAAACTGCTGCTGATCTGAATGAGGCTCTGAATCACGAAATGAGCCCCGTCTAAGGTAGACCCATAGGGGACTCACTCATGCATCAAGGCTTATGACAAGGATGGAAGCATGTACAGAAGCATTCAAATGTATATTGTAAGTATTTTACATATGCTTAAAGTAAGCAAGATATTGTTCTACTGAACAACATTCTTAGGCTGAGTCTATTGCTGTGGCAGCTAAACACCCTGACAGTAGCTCAGAAACCACTGACACCCACAGTTATCTCAGAGGTCTCAACCAATTTAATATTTATGGTGAAAGTCATGAATAAAAGTGTGATAGGAAAAACAAAAAACAAAGATGGGTTCTCTGTACAAGGGGTGTATTGACTGTTGCAAATTCCCTTTTTTAAATAAGGAAGGATTTCTTAGGGTAATATCTTTTGTTGGACTAACTACACAGCCGAGGTAGACAAACTTTTGAATACAAGACATTTTTCATCAGGGATAATGCAAGGGAGGACTGAATGACACACAAGGCACCTAATCCATTTAGGGTAATATTTACACTCGCCCACGAGCCTCCTAAGCAGCTTGCAACGCACCTGTGTTTTCCCTCCACCACCTCCACTCACTTTGACTCATTGCCATGGTCATCAACATCATCAACTACATATGCAAAAATGATGAAAATATAGTTTGGTAGTTAAACAAAACTTGTGCTCCCTCTGCTGGCTGGCTGTTCAACAGTGAAGCAAAAGGTCATGTACTGTATTGAATAGTTAGCCTGGTTATTTACCAGTCATTTGTCAGCATTTGTGGGGCTTTACAACAAATATGAGATGTTAGGATTTAGAAGAAAGTTTGGACTAGATTATAACAATGAGAATGGAAGTAGAACATGTGCCATCCAAATACGCTCCCTTTACTGCCTAAACTGTCAGTAGAGTTTCCAAGATGCCATTTTCAAAGTGTGTTAATGTTTTCCCAGACATCTCCCTAGAAAAGTGAGAGAGAACTCTGTGAACTGACAAGGTTCCTCTGAAATGAACATCTTTAACAGACCCTTCTGCTATGTTAAGGAAGAAGAGGGGCTTTATTTTTAAATGCACCAGGAAGCTTACTCCTGATGAGCTTTCTTGCTCACCAACTGGTACGAGGAAAACAGCTTGTGTTTTCTTAGACGTTATCCTCATTTCACTTGCATCAGATATGGGCTGCTTGGCTACCCAACCTGGGAACCTGATATTCTGCATTCTGTGCAGTGAAGCAAGTAACCTTCACCATGATTAGTTCGTGATTGGTTCCTAACCTCCATAGCCAAACTGGGATGATAACCCTCACTGGGTCTGATATCAGTCTGAGACCTCATTTAGAAGTTCAGGTTCTTGGATATTCAGTTTGACAGAGTTTTGGTACTTTAGCCCATTAAGAACTGAGGTAGCTACTTCACTGGTTCCAAATTCACCCTATCAGTGCCTCTTGCTCATTCTGTTTGGATGTTTTAGTTACTTGCCTTCAAAGGGTATGTCTTCACTACAGTATTAATCTGGGCTCATTTCCCAGGTGAGCAATATCTTGCTCACTTTAAGCATATGTAAAATACTTACAATATACATTTGAACTAATCAGGTGTTGCCTCTAGCCACCCACCCAGCTAGTTTGCAAACAGGTCGCGTCTACATGAGATGCTTACTGTGCAGTAGCTTGTTACTAGGGGTGTGCGAAGCGGGCCCTATTCGATTCGGATTCAGCCCAAATTGGGGACAGTGATTCGATTAATTGATTTGGATCACTGTCCCTGATTTGATTCGGCTGAATCTGAAGATTTGATGCTGATTCAGAGAGTCAGTGATTTGGACATAGACACAGCTTTAAATGCTTTTTCTATGCACCTTGAGGTACCAGTGTGGCTTGTGAATGCTGTGATGCTGGGGCAGATGGGACCGTCCCACAGGAGTGGGGGCCCTCCACGTGCTTGGCAGCCAACCCAGAAGTGGACTGGAAGTACTTCTGGTCCACTTCTGGGTCCACCAGGGAGTGAGCTGGAGGACCCCCTTGCACCCCCCAGCTCGGCAATCAGCCACGGGGGGACCCCAAGTGTTCCCCCCAGACCCAGGAGGCACCATTCACCAAGGT